TTCTAAGACATTAAGTAATTTTTTGATTCAATCAAAATAAAATTAATTAAATTAAAGTATTGTTACATAAAAAATAAAAATAATTTAAATACAAAAACAATAACGACATTATCATATGATTATTTGATGTTGACTTAAAATTATGAAGAAAAGTTCATTATCATTCTCTTTCTTGTCATTTATACTAAATTCATTTAAAAATGGATGAATCACTTTTAAAAGCCAGAATAAAGGTAAATATAATTTAACAATATGTTATTATTAGGCGAATTATACTTTGAAAACCTACTGGATAGAAAACTAACGAACATATTAATATATTCAAGGAAGACGAATGCTTTATTTCAATAAAAAAAATCAACGATTATATGCTAAACTATATTCAATATATGGTATTTATCTACGGTTATTTTAAATTTTTTTTTTATCCTTAATTTTTTTTTGAAAATAAAGATGAAACCAATAATACTAAATGACATTTAAAAGTAAACCGCAAGGATTAAAAAACTAATTTCAAAAATTAAAAATTATAGATTTATAATTTTAATTGATTCTGTTTGTGTTCTATTATCATGAAAATTGAAAAAGAATAAATTATTTAACTACTCGTTAGAAAAAGTTTTTTTTGAGATATTTACTTAATTAGCCCCTTAGAAAAACAATGACAAGACAGGGTGAAAATTATAAAAGTTTTTATCTTTAGCTCCTAAAATCTTATAATTTGATGACCAAAAATTTAAAATCTAAACTAAAAGTAGGCGATGGAATTTCTTGAAAACTATTACAGTACAATTAGCTTAATATTTCATAAATAATATTTTACTCTTATTATGTTGAAATAGGACAAGTTACTAGAAATTAATAAAATTAAGTTTTATTTATAGTTTATTTGCTAATTATCATACAAACTCCGTGATATCACAAAATATTAAAAAACAAAATTGTCTACATCATATAGTGAGCACGTGAGCACGATAATTTATTTTAATATCCTTCAAAAATTTATTTTTTATTGAAATGAAAGTATGGGACTTTTACATGTTAATAAACTATTTAATATAAGTAATTTCATGGGGAGTTAGGAATATCGCAGTTTTTTTCCCGTAGGGAAAATAACTACGGTATTCAATTCCCCATGAAATTACTAAGTTATACCCAGGTGCATGTGATTTAGTATATAATTTCTATGTTATATATATATTTATTTATATTGAGCATTGCAATAGGAAGCTTTCCAAATAACCGATATAACCGTTTCTCCTGGGAATACCCACCACGTTATGATTGGCTGATTAAGTGACAAATTACCTAACGCACACCTAACCCTAACCCTAACCCTTATCTCAATTATAGCAGCGTGGGGTAAATTAGTGATCACTTCCGCTTAGCTTTGTTTAGGAAGATTGAACAAGTATTCAATTAATCTAACAATTCAATCATTTCAATTTGGAAAATTCCAACTAACGTGAACAAGGTTCAAAGTAGTTATTCTGTTTCAAATCAGGGTGAATATCTTTATTATTTATAAAAAATAAATTATTTGTTGTATTCAGTTCTTACTTATTTATAAACAATTTTGTATTGTAAGCAAAAGGAATTTAATTGAATAAAAGTAAAGTAATTTTGATGCCAAATTTATTTAATAATATCAATTAATCAGTGTTGCCTCAACGTCGGCGCTCTACACTTTTGCAATGTCAATATATTAAACTAAATGAATACTAATCACTAACAATACTAATTAATTAAAACTGCGCAATTACAAAATATAAAATAAGAATAATAAGAAAATCGAAATTTAAAAAAATAAACGGTTACAAATTAAAATTATAATGTTAAAACGGTGAAAGCGAAATATTTCGCGAAGGGATAAAGGAAGGTTTTTAAGGTGTACATATGCAAATACAAGAAGGGTGTGAACGTGGAATTTTGGGCTGTTTAAGGATTACCAGCTCACATGTATTGGCCACCAAAAAAAGAAAAAATTATTAATCATTTCTCAATTGATGAAATAAATTCTCTGTTTATATCTAAGTTTTTTTGATTTTTGTTGGAAAGTCAATTGACAAGTTCAGTAAGTTCACACACTCAATTTTGCATAGAATAGATCAATGCTATGAAAATTTTCTTAGATGTAAAGTATAATGCGTCGAATGATCTTTCTCAGAACTTTCGGACCTATAGAATAAAGAAGTTAGAAAACTAAATTTAATGTCAACAATAAGCGTTAAAAAGTTACTGTTGATTCCTCGAGAGAAAAGAGACAATCTACTCGAAGAAAACTTCTCGTGTAACGCAAACACTTCTAAGAGGATGGATGGGTAAACCTAGGGAAAGTCTGCATCCAAGTCTAAGTCATCGCTCTTAATTTAATACAAAGGATGCCGCCAGAAATCGAAGAGTTCAGCCTGTACAGTTACATCATTATGCCAATTAAATGATAATTGTAATCCAAATATCATTGAATGTATTGAATGAGTAAGGAATTCGGAGTCAGTTCTTAAGAATCACTGTATTAAAGGAACGACCTCATAAAGATAATTTCTTATCAATACGATATAGCACTGGGGTAATACTTGTCTATAGAAATGAATATAACGGAAATTTGAACCCGTAGGTCAAGCGATATTTAGCAAATATTGTTTAGCTCGTAACCATAATGGAAAACCACTACTAATGCAAATCTTTTCAAGAGCAAAAAAATGTGTGAGGGTGCGTTCGAAAGGTTTAGCGAAAATAGAACGTCGTCGTTTGAAATTTAAACACAATTTTATGAGAAATGAAAAGTATGATGGTAATAATATGCTACTTTTATGAAAAAGGATGTAATTTTTATCCTTATAGTTTCCTTCGAAATTTTCATAGAAGAATGAATTTTTATTACGTAATGTTCAAGTTAGTTCTTTTCACACATGATGACGATAATGACGATAATGACGAAACATGAAATTTTTAAAATAATTTAAAGTTACAATATTATCAATAAGATCCCGATAAAAAAAAATCATTTTTGACAATAATATGATCGCCAAATTAAAAAATTTCATATGGGTCATTTTCTATACAATCATGATCCGTCCATAAAGAGAAAGAAATATTTTATGAAAGGACCTTCCATGGTTGAGATTGGAATCATAATGACTACTAAAGATTTTTTTTTGACTAACTATAATCGATTATTAATATTCGAAGAAATAATGTACATTATCACGTTTCCCGTCAAGTCAATTTGATAATCTAAGGACATATAGAAAAAATGATGTTTCAAATATTCAAAGTAACTTGGAAGTTTAACAAATAACTCTATACTTATCAAGATCCAAATAAATCTTCTTGGAAATAGCTAGTGCTTTAAAAGTATGCATCGAGGATAAATATATATTAATTATTTGAAATTATACTTGATTGTTTGATGGGTTCATCTAATAAAAAAAATAAAGTTTAACAGTTAGGACATTTTAAAACGAACTTTATTAAAAATTTCAAGCTTTATAAAATTATGCAAGGCGAAGAGCCGTTATATAGGCTCAAAACCCTTTTTTCTCAAATTCTATAAATCATGATATAATAACGTAGTTCAAAATATTTGTGTTGCATATAGACCGATAACCGTAAAATAATTACAATGCGATAATTGATTGATAAAATTCAAGAGAATCATTAACGACGTACCTTGTGGAATTTCTGGTTGTAGTTCGACATCAATGATGAGATCACTAACGATACTTTATTAGCATGGGCTAATCGAACAAGTGCAAGGTCGAAAGAAATTGTCAACTTTATAATTATTTATACTCTTTTCTTGTTTCTCGTTTTGTTGACTTAATTAACCCATGCGATAACATATGATATCTTTAAATAGTGATTGGAATTATTTCTACCAAAATCGAATTTAACGAAAATCGAATTAATAAATCGTATCAATTTTTAGTGGCACAATAAATACGGCAGGGAGTCTTGATGCGTAATTTAACATCTGTCACCACCCTGGTGTCAAGTATTATTCGATCGCTTCATCTCGAAGCGATTAAGCCCATAAAATAAAATACAAGTTAAGATAATTAAGTTGCCTTATCTACTTCCAGAATCAAATTAAACCGATTCAATAAAACAAAGGGCGGATAGATCAAAATGTTCGATCGCAGCGTGTCTGAAGAAAGTAAAGTTATCCGAAAATAAAGAGAAAAGAAATATCGCGGCCTGAAGCAAAAGTAGAAAATAATACCTTAATGAAAAATCTACTATAAATCAATCGATGGACACAATGGAAATAAATAATCGAACCCGAAAGAGGAGACATAAGAAAAAATAAAAAAAACAAATCGAAACAATGAGAAATCACTTGCCTATTTTAATTAATCATTCAAACCCAAAAAAAGAATACTTAAAAAAAAACAATTGAATTACCTTTATCTTCCAAATGATCAAAAAAAATATAAAATATTGATAAAAAAAAAACCAAAATTTAGAGTAAAAGAAATATCGAATCGTTATTGCACTAAACAATCGAACCTGAATCAAAAAAAAAAAAACTGGAAATTTGGTTGGCATTCAAGAAAATTGCTACGCCACGCCATAAATCTTGAGTTTTTAAAATACTGTAGTAATGTCAAATTCTTTTTGTACCAGGACATTTTGGCAGGAGCGTTCCAAAGAATCTATTTTTTTTTTTTTTTTGTTAAATAAAAAAAAATTAATAGATGTCGATATTATTCTAAAATATTCCAGAAAGTTCGATCGTTATTGTAATAGATGTTGCCGAATGACACGTAATGGTTTATTCTAAAAGGTTCGATTTTATTAAAAAAAAGGATCACCATGAGAAATTTCAAAACATTTTCTCTCTTTACTTCACCCAAATTAATAAAAAAAGTATTTAAATAGAAAAAGAAAAAGATAAAGGTTTGGAAACTAATAAAGTATATTTTCGTTTTTTTGAGCGAATAATAAGAGTGAAATGGTTTGTTTTTTAACATTTATGAATTATTATTTTACATAAATTATCTTCCAGTTCTTTTAAAAAAAACAATTGTAATTCTCCCCGTCCTCCCTCCCTCCTCTTCCACCAGCAGATGATTCTGATGCTGTTCTGCTCCATAAGCTGCGCGACGAAGAAGAAGAACCACCACGGCGGGTCGAACCTCATCCCGTCGAAATGCTGTGATGTAATGATGAGACAATTACGAGAAGAGCACGTTAATTTGCTCAACGAGATGAGCAACTTCGTTAGGTGGTGT